ACAACACCATACAACACACCACAACACCATACAACACACCACAACACCATACAACACCCCCACAACACCATACATCAAACAGAGCATCACAAAACGCAAAAATGCCCTGCGAAACAAACAGAGAGAGTAGGAGTAACAGTCATCCAATCGCTACATCCCACAAACTCACCTTGACCCTCAGATTCCAGTTATTTACTACGGAAACATTTTTCTCTCGCCCGCCTAGAAATATTTAATTGTCGGGAATGCACGCGGACTCAGAGTGGCTGCCGGCGGGATGGGGGTTTCGAACGAGGGGTCAGAATAGAGGTCGTTGGGTGAGGGGTGATTCCCCCTGCAGACAGGGGACGAGGGGAGGTATAGAGGTAGCTAGAGAAGAGGAAGGTATAGTGGATACAATAGAGTTTTAGGGATATGTGAGGTCACAGAGAATACCACTTTGGCAAAGGGGGGAAGCAACAGGAGTGTAAATGGGTAGCTAAAATAGAATTGGCGCTTTTCTCTCTATTACGTAAATCACGAGATGCAGTAAACTGATGGTAATCTATTGTCGAGGTGGTGGGCTTTGGTATGGTAGGTGAGGTCTGGCTTCTGTTAGACTTTATCAGCACGAGTATTGCTTCACGCTATATATACATTATTTTTATATGTCTCCCCTCGCTCAACTTTGTATTATTACACATGGTGGGTATGGGAGAGTCATAGGTAGGTTTCAGTGTTAACCTTTAGAAAATATCAGGATTTATATAAACTTCCTGCTATTTTCATGACGTCTGAAATCGAGATTTCTTTTCAGTAGAATTTTTAGCAGGTTTTCAGTGCATCAAAATATAGATATTACATTTTCTGAGAGAGACAGACAAGCATATTGACACTCAGATTGACCTATTTGGGGAGCCCGGGATTAACTGGGCCCCACTATGTCACCTAGAACATATCTATATCTAAATTGATATATGAAAAAGTCTGTCCGTATGTTCGGACAGTTTTTCAATTTTTCACAGTAATCACAGTTGGGTATGTGCCCAACACAAGCAAGATGGGACTGATGTCAAGGAAATCAGTGCCAAATGACACTGTGCCAATGTCAACAAAGATCTCGCAATACTATACCACTCGACTTTGTATTATCAATGTATTTTGTAATTGTTATTGCTTAATATCGGAAAATATACGCACTTATACAAAAAATTAAAAAGCACAATTCTGCTCATATTATTTACCCTTTAAACCCAAGAAAATTTTGATGATATGGTTTTCTTTTCATAGATTTTATGGATCATATTTTAAGGAAGCGAGTATATGAAATGTTCGAATATTATTCATTAATGCAAAGCGTGACAAAGAGGGAAAAGAAGGAGGAAAGTAGGATGAAGGATAAAGAGGGGAAATAAGGGAATAGGAGATGGAAGAAAGGGGAGAAATGGGGGAAGAGGAGAAGAGGAAGACGATGGAAAACAAGATAGTGTGAAAAGGTGATTAGGAGAGGACAGGAATTGTGGTGAATAGGGGCAGGGTGAGGGAGTGACACAGATATATAAATATCTATAAATTTAAATGTGTGTCTGTCTCCCTTAATCTCAGTGAATATCTCTGACTCTCTGTCTGTCTGTCTGTCTGTCTGTCTGTCTGTCTGTCTGTCTGTCACGTGGACATCTTGTGGACAATGAGCTACTCGGGAGGATATTTACTGAGGGCGAATGGACGTGTATCTGTCAAGAACTTCAAGGCCAGATGCTTGGGAGTCTAGACTTTGCACTGTGATTGCTGTAGGGTACATGCCCAACATGGTATCATGTAGTTTCTAGAGCTGAAATTCCATTATTTTAGTGCTCAGGTAATTTTAGAAAATATAATTTATTTTTTACACAGGTGGATACAGGAGCAAGCGATTGTTAGCAGGCTGAGAGCTTTCTCTTATCTTGAGATTATCTTGAGGTGATTTCGGGGCTTAGCGTCCCCGCGGCCCGGTCCTCGACGAGCATTGACGTCCTAGACAATATTCCCTAGCTAGGACTCGAACTATGACCAAATCAACGGAAGAAAAAATCCCCAAGGGGCCGCGATGAGGGTTCGAATCCCTTGTGGATTTGTGGACTTGATACATCACGCTATTGTGATTTCTCTGTGTACGACCAAATCGCTTCCGAATCACAGGGAAAAGTGTACTTAGTTCTAACAGCATCACTTTAATCACTTGAAATAAAAAAATAATGCGCCGGACTCATAGTTTTGGTAATCGTGATTTGTTGAGCTGAATTTGATATCGTGATATCGTGTGGGTAATCGTTATTTGTTGAGCTGAATTTGATATCGTGATATCGTGTGGGTAATCGTGATTTGTTGAGCTGAATTTGATATCGTGATATCGTGTGGGTAATCGTGATTTGTTGAGCTGAATTTGATATCGTGATATCGTGTGGGTAATCGTGATTTGTTGAGCTGAATTTGATATCGTGATATCGTGTGGGTAATCGTGATTTGTTGAGCTGAATTTGATATCGTGATATCGTGTGGGTATCGTGATTTGTTGAGCAGCGCCTCCTTACTACACCAGTTGGAATTAAACTTGGTTACCAAAGGCTTGTTGCATTTGGGTTGGCCAAATATGACCTGTGCAATGCGAGGGGCCATATTGGACTTAGGCTGACCAAATGGAGTTAACGAGGGCCATATTGAACTTACGATGGCCAAATGAAGTTAACGAGGAGACATTTCTAGATCTTGGTCAAAACAGATTACTGATTGCTAAATTGTCCAGAGGGTGGCCAGATTACGTTATCGAGAGATATATTGTCCAGAGGCTGGCCAGATTACGTTATCGAGAGATATATTGTCCAGAGGCTGGCCAGATTACGTTATCGAGAGATATATTGTCCAGAGGCTGGCCAAATTACGTTATCGAGAGATATACTGCCCAGAGGCTGGCCAGATTACGATATCGAGAGAGATATATTGTCCAGAGGTTGGCCAGCTTCCGTTACTGAGGTCCATATGGCCCAGAGGCTGGTCAGATTACGCTATGGAAAAGCACAATGTCCAATGTCTGGCCAATCGAGTTTACCGAAGGCCATTGTCCAAAGGCTATTCATATTCAGACTTATTCATATTTAACTCCTCAATACGCTATATCATTGCTTGCAAGATGCTTGTCATTGAGTCATTGTGCTTGGAAGTTCAACTGACAAAGATCTTTTCACTCACCTCTCCCCTGTCAAGGCCACGGTGCTCAGTCTCGTGGGTGGAGAGGGAGAGAGTGGGGAGGGAGGGAGTGGGAAGGGAGAGAGTGGGGGAGAGTGGGGGAGAGAGTGGAGGCACGCCCCTCCAGAGAGACTTATAGAGAAGAGAGAGCAGAAAATATACTTTATCTGAGAGAGAATATGCGCAGGGATGTATGGCTATGTACGAATGTGTGTACACAATCATATATAGACTCCACACACAGTATGTACGATCAGTGTGCACTCTAGCTGGTGGGATGTACACACACACACACACATGGCTCCACACACACGACTACATGTATGTCTATACACACTCTTGACGTCATATATATAGCCACGTGTGTACGTGCTGGAATATAACAATGAATTAACAAATATGACAATACACAAGCTTAGTGCTGAATAGCCAGTTGTGTGATGGGACAGTAAGAGGTGTTTCTGGAAGAGGGCGCTCAGGGCTCACTGTGGAAAAGGAACTAGGGCACGGGAATGAACGCTTATGAAACAGTAACAAAAATTAAATAAATTGAAAAATCTCTTACTATCCTAATATTGAATATCAGACTATTGATCCATTTAATAAGTTTATGGAAAAGGTGGAAAAGGGAGTATCATAGGAGACTAATCTAAGGTAGGAATAGCAGCCAGGAGAGGTTATCTTGAGATGATTTCGGGGCTTTTAGTGTCCCCGCGGCCCGGTCCTCGACCAGGCCTCCACCCCCAGGAAGCAGCCCGTGACAGCTGACTAACACCCAGGTACCTATTTTACTGCTAGGTAACAGGGGCATAGGGTGAAAGAAACTCTGCCCATTGTTTCTCGCCGGCGCCTGGGATCGAACCCGGGACCACAGGATCACAAGTCCAGCGTGCTGTCCGCTCGGCCGACCGGCTCCCCAAAGGTACAGAGAGGTACAAACCTGATAAAACCTGCCACAAAAGCCCTCAAAAAGCCTCATAAAATGTGTCACTTTGAATCAAGTGAGTGAAGGCAGGTTTGTAGCGGGAGAAATACATGTGTGTGTGTGTATGTGTGTGTGTGTGTGTGTGTGTGTGTGTGTGTGTGTTTGGTGCGTGTGTGTGTGTGTGGTGTGTGTGTGTGTGTGTGTGTGTGTGTGTGTGTGTGTGTGTGTGTGTGTGTGTGCGTGTGTGTGTTTGGTGTGTGTGTGTGTGTGTGTGTGTGTGTGTGTGTGTGTGTGTGTGTGTGTGTGGTGTGTGTGTGTGTGTGTGTGTGTGTGTGTGTGTGTGTGTGTGTGTGTGTGTGTGTGTGTGTGTGTGTGTGTGTGTGTGTGCGTGTGTGTGTGTGTGTGTGAGTACTGGTCAGTGGAGCACTTGGAGTAGCCTGGAGTACACCTCGTCCATCTCCCCTACACCAGTTCCACACACCACCAGCCTTGAGCGGCGGCTGAGGGAAGGGGAGAGAGAGCGAGAGAGGGGAGAGAGGGGAGAGTAGTTACCCTGGAAGAGGGGAGAGAAGGGAAGGGTGAGAGCCAGAACATTGTGCTTGGAGCAGTAGAGTGAGTGTGCATGGGAGACGTGCTTGGCCCAGTCGGTGTGCAGTGTGTAATCGCTGGTAATCAGACTGGACGAGGAGCAAGGGAAAGGGGCGTTCAGTGAGGGGAAGGGAAGGGAGGTGGGAGGGGAAAAGGGGGGAAAGAGAGGGTCGGGAAGCAAGGGGACACCCCATCACCCAGTGAGGGGTGACAGTGCCTCAACACTCTCTCTTGCTTGTTTAGGGGCGCACAGTCAGCTTGCAAACACAGTGCCAGTGAAGCCACGCAGACTCACCCCTCAGTGCTGCCCAGGATGTAAACCCACACAGTGCCTGACAAAGGTGCCACCTTTGGAGCAACCCCGCACACCTATTATAGGTCTGTACCGTTCTTATTAACCTGTTTTATCCACTTGCTCTATAATCGCCTCGTGAAGATCTCCCAGTTAGTTACAGTTATAATTGTACAGTTATTAACACAGGCATATGTGTATATATATGACTCTACCACTCACCTTCACTCTCAGACTCTAAAATCATGTGTGCTGTTAATGTATGTATATTTACATTCATACATACACATATATACACATATACACACACAAAACTGTGTGTGTGTGTGTGTGTGTGTGTGTGTGTGTGTGTGTGTGTGTGTGTGTGTGTGTGTGTGTGTGTGTGTGTGTGTGTGTGTGTGTGTGTGTGCGTGTCTCACTCACACCTATGTCTGTGCGTGTGTATATGTGCATTTACATATATATATATATAAGAAAATATATACTATACACCCAAGACTTAAGTTTTAAAACATAATTTACAAACGATGACCTGACTCAAAGTGACTTAGCACTGACTTATTTTTTTACATACCTGAAAATCTTAAGTTTATATAGCTTATGTTTATATAGTTTAAATGTTTATAGAGCATATTAAAGGGATGCAACGACTCCAATGCCTTTCACCATGGTCATAGCATCAACATCTCACTCCCTGCTGGAAACTCATATACCATGTCAAAAATTCCCATTATAGACAAAAATGCTCTCAGCTCCTGGGCCCCGCCTGGGCCCACGAAGGCAAAGGCAGGCTCATATAAGTAGAATATGAAGGAATAAGTGAGGACACAGAAGTTGCCCGAAAAAAGTGGTGAAAGTCTTCAAGGAAGGAAAGTAGAAAAATAAAGTAGAAATTAGAATTAAACTGCAAAGAAAAATATGCAAGTGAATAGTGAATTTTTTGATAAATACAGTTTTTTTTTTTTTTTTAGTGAGAGAGGGAGGCAGTTTGCTGAATAAGACTGAATTATCTGTAATAATTAAAATTGAATTTAATAATAAAATTTAGCTTATAGTCAAGTGCTGGAGTCAGAATATTATCCACCACCCTAGGAGATACAGAGTGTGTGAAAATATACCTTGAGAGTGACATAGATATCTATTTCTATGATGAAATAGATAACACATGCCACTGCTGTAGGGTAAAAGATTTAAGCAGCGAAACAGATGTTTTAATAAGAACAGACAGGAATATGAACTTTGTACAAGGGTTGTACAGGCACAAAAAAGAAGTTCTTGGGAGAAGCATCTTAAGGTTTGTGAGTGATGCTGTGATACTGAGAGACATCTTGGGTTTCATCTTAGTGCATGAAGATGCTTTCTGCCATAAGATTAAATCAAATCAAATGTTTATTCAGGTAAAAGTAAATACATAGAGGATTACTTACAAACATAATGTTGGATTTATAGATAGAGTTAGTACATACAATACCTAAAGCCACTACTTAAATGGTGAAAGAATGATTGTGCCTCAGAATTATGCAAGAGGAAAATGAATAAAGGAGACATTAAGGGAGAGAGAAATGGAAGATGAACACATGGGAAGGCTTGAGGAATGACCCTTCTTAGAGAAAGAAGATAGATAGAAGAAGGTATCTTTCTTTGAGAAAGATACCATGAAAACTTTATCTTCGTGGCATGTAGAATGTGTAAATTATTTACTAAAAATGCCAATGAAATGTGTAGAATAACACAAACTATTAAAAAAATCAGAAGAACCTCTTGGTTCGATAAAGAAGTGACAAAATCTATTAATAAAAAAACCAATAAGGGGATTTTATTGATATAAAGTGAACTAGAACCCTTCAACTTGATCAACACCATTAATAAAGAGTTCAGTATTGTTAATTATGTCAGTAATAATAATATTGACAACATTACAAACTTTTCAAGAGATTGTGTGACAATCAATCGGAAACGTCACTCTTAGCCAATCGGGTGCAAGCAATCACATAATCAATTCTTATTGGCTATGATATCGGAGATAAGGTACATTACCCAATAACAAGAGAGCAATGTCTTCTCTCTGGCAAGCCAAGATTGGCTCTGACAAAATGGTTAATGATAGTTTCAAGAGTTGTGTCAGATGTGTGAAGTATCGCCGCGATCTAAGAGTTCTTCTAAGGATAGTTTGCTCTTAAATTGCCTCTCAAGACTCTTGTTTAAGACAAGAGTTTTTATCACTACTGGTACTAGTATCGTTAGTTCCTTTGTCAACATTAGAGGTAGAGAATAAGAGAGAAAGTCCTGTGAACAAATCCACAAGGGGCGTGACGAGGATTCGAACCTGCGTCCGGGAGCATCCCAGACGCTGCCTTAATCGACTGAGCTACGGCAGGGTTAAGCCTAGACAGGGTTTAACCCTGTCGTAGCTCAGTCGATTAAGGCAGCGTCTGGGATGCTCCCGGACGCAGGTTCGAATCCTCGTCACGGCCCTTGTGGATTTGTTCAACTAATAGTCCAGGACAGACCGAAACGTCGTTGTCTCTTCAATTTATAGTGTGGTCTGGTCAACATATTTACAAAGGTGTGTATTTATTTATATATATATATATATATATATATATATATATATATATATATATATATATATATATATATATATATATATATAGATGTTATAGTTATATATATACTTGTTATTTATGTGTGACTAATTGTGAATGGTATACAATGTGATTCAGTAAAACATCATTGCTTACCATTGTGTTAAAAGCTGTTTTAAGATTTTAAAACAATTTTTAACAATGTGGCGTTAAAATCAAAGATGTATAATATTTTTCCAGTGTATTAATATCCGTTTTTTCTCCAATGAAATGTCGTAATCTAGTCGTATGATTTGCTAACTACCCAATCCCTTGGTAGTGGTATTAGCTCAGATTATTGTCGTGCTATTCCGAGGTTGAGTAAGGACTATTGCTAGCGTCGACCAGGAGGCCTGGTCGACGACCGGGCCGCGGGGACACTAAGCCCCGGAAGCACCTCAAGGTAACCTCAAGGTAGCACACATGTCCGGGATTACTTGCAAGAAATTACTTTACCATTCTCATCTTCAGACATGCAAACTTTTAGGTACCATTGTTGAGTAACAAGAAAAACAGTCCCCCACACAACACCTGACTCTTCATTACAACAAAAACAGTCCCCCACACAACACCTGACTCTTCATAACAACAAAAACAGTCCCCACACAACACCTGACTCTTCATTACAACAAAAACAGTCCCCCACACAACACCTGACTCTTCATTACAACAAAAACAGTCCCCCACACAACACCTGACTCTTCATTACAACAAAAACAGTCCCCCACACAACACCTGACTCTTCACTACAACAAAAACAGTCCCCACACAACACCTGACTCTTCACTACAACAAAAACAGTCCCCCACACAACACCTGACTCTTCACTACAACAAAAACAGTCCCCCACACAACACCTGACTCTTCACTACAACAAAAACAGTCCCCACACAACACCTGACTCTTCACTACAACAAAAACAGTCCCCCACACAACACCTGACTCTTCATTACAACAAAAACAGTCCCCCACACAACACCTGACTCTTCATTACAACAAAAACAGTCCCCACACAACACCTGACTCTTCATTACAACAAAAACAGTCCCCCACACAACACCTGACTCTTCACTACAACAAAAACAGTCGCCCACACAACACCTGACTCTTCACTACAACAAAAACAGTCCCCCACACAACACCTGACTCTTCATTACAACAAAAACAGTCCCCCACACAACACCTGACTCTTCAATACAACAAAAACAGCCCCCACACAACACCTGACTCTTCACTACAACAAAAACAGTCCCCCACACAACACCTGACTCTTCATAACAACAAAAACAGTCCCCCACACAACACCTGACTCTTCACTACAACAAAAACAGTCCCCACACAACACCTGACTCTTCACTACAACAAAAACAGTCCCCACACAACACCTGACTCTTCACTACAACAAAAACAGTCCCCCACACAACACCTGACTCTTCACTACAACAAAAACAGTCCCCCACACAACACCTGACTCTTCACTACAACAAAAACAGTCCCCCACACAACACCTGACTCTTCACTACAACAAAAACAGTCCCCCACACAACACCTGACTCTTCACTACAACAAAAACAGCCCCCACACAACACCTGACTCTTCACTACAACAAAAACAGTCCCCACACAACACCTGACTCTTCACTACAACAAAAACAGTCCCCACACAACACCTGACTCTTCACTACAACAAAAACAGCCCCCACACAACACCTGACTCTTCACTACAACAAAAACAGTCCCCACACAACACCTGACTCTTCACTACAACAAAAACAGTCCCCACACAACACCTGACTCTTCACTACAACAAAAACAGTCCCCACACAACACCTGACTCTTCACTACAACAAAAACAGTCCCCACACAACACCTGACTCTTCACTACAACAAAAACAGCCCCCACACAACACCTGACTCTTCACTACAACAAAAACAGTCCCCACACAACACCTGACTCTTCACTACAACAAAAACAGTCCCCACACAACACCTGACTCTTCACTACAACAAAAACAGTCCCCACACAACACCTGACTCTTCACTACAACAAAAACAGCCCCCACACAACACCTGACTCTTCACTACAACAAAAACAGTCCCCCACACAACACCTGACTCTTCATAACAACAAAAACAGTCCCCCACACAACACCTGACTCTTCACTACAACAAAAACAGTCCCCACACAACACCTGACTCTTCACTACAACAAAAACAGTCCCCCACACAACACCTGACTCTTCACTACAACAAAAACAGTCCCCACACAACACCTGACTCTTCACTACAACAAAAACAGTCCCCACACAACACCTGACTCTTCACTACAACAAAAACAGTCCCCACACAACACCTGACTCTTCACTACAACAAAAACAGTCCCCCACACAACACCTGACTCTTCACTACAACAAAATATTATATAATATTACGCCGTTAATAGAGAGTTCTAAAGGTCACAAA